AGAGTGGTGCAGGTTCCAAGTTCTGATAAGGGCTTGGGCTCGTTAGTTATGTTTCAGCTGTGTATGCGATGGGCCCAGGATGGAGTTATTGGGGGTCTGGTAAAAGGGGGAGAAGTGAGAGGGGAACTAGGGGGTGCGGATCAGGATCTGTGCGGGGATGGATTGGTACGGGTTTTGAGGTTTCTGCTGGTGTTTGCAGTAGCCCAAGCGGCAAAGGATGTAAGGGCTCAGGGGTTTGACGAGCCAGCTAATGGCGTCGAGGAAGATCCTGAGTTGCTTGCAGCTTGGGCTATGCGTAAGGCTGCTGCGAACCTTGGTTACCCCGCAGGTAAAGTACCCCCCCCTGATTCGAGTCAGATCTTCCTGGCATTTGAACCCAGTGGTGCAGTGGTTAAGAATGAGGGTTCGGAGGTGCGAGTCGGTGACTGGTTCGGTTCGTTGTCTAGCGAATATGGGTTGCAGACGGCTTGCTTTGACCAGGGTTGTATCGGTGCTCCGGGGGTCTATGAGACGCGGCTGATGACTTCTTCATGGTATCTTTACGAGAATCTGCATGCGGTCCGAGTAGATGATAAGACGCGTGCGTTGCTGGAATTGGTTCAGAGGGTTGACATGGGGTCTGCTCTAGGCCGGGCTGGATGGGTGGGTAACCTTCTAAGTTTTGTCCAAAAGGCCTGGTTGATGTGGAAGTGGGAACAAGGAAGGCAAGAGGAGGTTGAGGAACGTAGACTAATCCTTAAACGCCTTTCTGAGGAGGAGTCCTACCGAAAGCATGTGGAGCATGACCATGTGCCATATAGAAAGGGCTGTCCAATCTGTATAGCAGCGCAGGGGCGGCAAAGGTCTCATTGGAGGAGCGGGTTTCCTGGGATGCACTCTTTAAGTGTGGACGTGGCTGGGCCATTTGTTTCGGGACAATCCTGGGATGTGGAGGCTAGCGGGCGTGATAAGGGAAAGGGGTATAAGTATTTTTTGGCGTGCGCTTATGCTATTCCACAAGGGTATGTACCAGAAGGCTTGGAGACAAGGGAGGAGGATGATTATGAGCCTTCGGAGTGCGGGGGTCTTATACCGGATGAGCCAGAGAATTATGGAGATAGGGAATTGGGTGACTTGGGAAGTGCTGACCTTCAATCCTTGGAGGAGTTCTTTAGACTACCGGGGGAGCCTCCAGAGGAAAAGGAATCAAAGGTAGGGGCCGTTCTGAGGAGGGTACCTAGTAAGAGGCCGGAATCTCCGGACTCCGAGGAACTTGGGAAGGAGAAGCACGAGGATAAGGAACCCAAGGCTTTGGATCCCACTGCCACAAAGGGACATCGTACTCTGTTTTTTGGGGTTCCGCTAAGGTCTAAGCTAGGTCGAGAGATCTTGCCGCATATTCAGGGGGTTGTTAACCGCTTGGAAGCTGCGGGGTTCCCTGTTCAGAGATTTCACGCGGATCGCGCAAAGGAGTTAAGGACTACTGCATTGATTAAGTGGTTGAAACAACAAGGAATCCATGCGACGTGGACTGCGGGGGAGTCTCCGGCGGGGAATCGAGCGGAGCTTTCAGTGCAGAGTTTAAAGGGCTTCGTTCGTAAACTTTTGTTTGTTGCCAAGCTTGGTAGTGAGTACTGGCCTTTGGCCTTGTGCCACGCTTCGGCGCGTAATTGGATTAATCTTTGTGAGTCGGTTGGAGTTCCGCAACTACCTCTTCTACCTTTTGGCATAAAGATCTTGGCGCGGCGGCGTTTGCGTACCGGGTATAAGGCTCACTGGGCTTCTAGAACAGTAGAAGGGGTATACATTGGGCAAGCGCCCCAAACACCTGGGGGGCATCTGGTGTTGATCCCGCATGAGGAAGGGCATAAGGTGCTTCTCACAAATACCGTGTATCCTCTAAAAGGGACTGAAGCTGATGTTAAGAAACCCAAGTATCGATTGGCGGGCAAGCGCTCCCCGGTCTTCGCAGTACGGGTGGTAGCTGCTACTGAGCTCGCGAGTGGCTGTGACGGTTTTGACTCCAGGTTGGCACCTGGGGGGGAGTCCCTTTCAGGTTTTTACTCTCCAAAATTCTCTTCGGATTTAGAACCGCTTTCAGAGGAGGAAGGTGGTTGGGATTGCGGTGAAACATTGCAGGACTTCGGAATAGAGGAAACTGAGCCAGGGAGCGGGGTTTTCGTTGAAGCCTGTGATAGCTTTGAGAATTGGGCTCTAGGAACCGACGAAGGG